AGATTGCAGACAAGGGCCGCAGAGCCCTCCCATACTGCTGAGAGTTGTCGAGTGGGAAGACATTTCTAGAACCCTCTGTCCTTTGCATGGCTGCCTGTTTGCCACACAGGTGCCCTTTTACATTCCAGCTCTACCTCGGGAGTTTGATGAGAAGTTGAGTGCCTCGTGAGGGCAGCCTGCTCCTTTTAAACACCTCAGATCTCCCAGCAGCCCCTGTAGACATTTACTTGTGACTGTTACTTCTTTTGAAGATGCCCCAAATTTATCTAATTCCTCTTCGATAGCACAGCTCTCTAAATACCTTACAAGTTCTATTCCCTACATCGTTTTTTTCAGACTAAGCGTACCTCCTGCTCTACACTGTTTTCAGATGGTATCTTCACCGTCATCTCATTTACCCTTCTCTACTCTATCAGTATTTCTTTTAAAGTTAAAAACTGGCATCCTTTGTCAAAAGGGAGAGACAGATGTTTTGGACTGTGATGCTGTGCAGTGTCTGTTGCAACTCCTCAGCTTTGCTGCTGTAGTGAGAGAGCCAGAGACACTATGTAAACGCATGAGCATGAGTGTGCGTAGGTTTCTTCACAGCACAGTAGCTTGGTTCCAGAATCTAACATTCAAGCAAATAAGGCATTTTTAAGATTTGGCCTTGCAGCCCATGAGCAGCCAACATGGAGGACAGTAAAGACACATTTGCTGAAGGCCAGAACTGTAAAAGAAGAGAAACTATTACACCCTTGTACTTCCCCTAGAGATAAATAGCCGTGATTGATATTCTTAATAGGTATGAATCACCTGGGGGTGTGGCCAAGGTTTAGCCCAGCCTTCCCAGGAAATATCCCTGAGCCCTACTCCTACTGAAAATCCTTCTATGTTTGCCATGTGACTTGCTGCCCTATTTTTCTTTTTTGTACTGGGGATGGAACTCAGGATCTTGTGCTTGTGAGGCAGGCAGCGGAAATCCCTGGTCCTTGGTCCCCTGTTTGACCCCCCACTTAATCAATATTACCTGGGTGGCTCTACTTGTTGTCCTATTGGTTGGTCATGGTTTTGCCCCACCTCATGCCCACCTTGTAATTTTCCATTGGGTCTTATAGTTTTGAGTTTTGAAATATTACCTGGGTGGCTCTACTTGTTGTCCTATTGGTTGGTCATGGTTTTGCCCCACCTCATGCCCACCTTGTAATTTTCCATTGGGTCTTATAGTTTTGTTCCACTTTGCACCTGTCTCGCCATGTGGCTTTGCTGTATAAAACATCTTTGAGAAGTGGGGTGGGCGAGCAACCCACTTTTCGGTCCCCCTTTTCTCTCTCTTAGACAGAAACTTTCTTTCTCTCAATAAATTTTTCCTACTTTAAAAAAAAAAAAGATTTGGCCTTGAAAACCATGTAGTATCACTTCATGCTGTATAGGTCAGGGTAATCGCAAAGGCCTGCTTGCTAGCCAGGTTTTGATCACTGTGACAAAATAACTGACGAGGCTAGTGAAGGAGAGGGTTTGTTGTGGCTCGTGGCTTCAGGGGTGTGGTCATGGTCCTAGCTCCTGCCTCCCGGCATGTAGGGGGAAAACATCCTGTGGGGAGCCTGTGATGGAGCAGAGCAGCCCACCTTATTGTTGACAGGAGGTGCATGGAGAGCGGTGCATGCACAGAGCTGGGATGTGCAGACCCTTCCAGGAGTATCCCAGCGGCCTGCGAAGTTTCCAGCCCCTCCTAGCAGTCCCCTCCATTATGGACTGTCATGGATGAAACCACTGGTGCGGTTGAGCCCATGTGGTCCTCTCACCTCTGGACACTGCTGCTTCGGAACTAAGCCTTCAACACATTGAGCCTTTGAGGGCAGGGGACAGAGCCGAACCAGGCCTGCCTTGATCTGGGGGAGCACTCATTGGACATCTTTCCATGGATTTACTTGCCACATGTAAATTTTCTGTGATGAATGGTCTATTTGAAACTTGCTCATTTTTTATTTGGGTCTTTGGTTTATTCCTTGCTGAATTTTCAGAGTTTTTTATATATGTGTACAGAAGGCTTTTAATAAGCTACAGAGTTTGCAAATATTTTCTTCCAGTCTCTTTGTCTTTCACGTTTTCTTTTTCTTTTCGCCATTTAGTTTATTGGTATATTTAAAGCAAACAATAGTTACATTTTATCATTGGGATTTTGTACCTTTACACATTTTCTTAATATTTTAAAACTCATTTGTGGTTCACAACAAAATTGAGCAAAGAGTATTCTTGAGTTCCTTTATGCCCTCTTTTTCCTACTCACCCAGTCATACGTGTACCGCCTCCCCTATGTCAAGAGCCAGTTACAGAGCAGCGCACGTGTTAGACTCAAGAGCCTGCATCACATATCATGACGCGCAGTGTGTGCCTTATGCTAGGGTTTACTCATGTACATTCTGTGGGTTTCAACAAATGTGTAATGGTATGTAGGCACCGTGATAGTATCAAACAGTAGCTTCGCTGCCTCAGAAACCTACGCACCACCTACAGATCCTTCCACCTCTTCAACCCTGGCAACTAATAATCTTTTTATGGTCTCTAGTGTAAACTTCTAATGGTTTTTCTTTTGCAGCACTGGGAATTGAACCCAGGGCCTCTACCTGAGCTATATTCCTGGCCTTTAAAATTTTCTTTATTGTTTTTGAGTTTAAGTTCTTGCTAAGTTGCCTCAGAGAGTGCTAGGATTATAGATATGCACCACCACACCTAAACAGTTTTAACTTTTCAAGAAGGTAATGTGGTTGAAATCATTAAGTATGTAGTTGTTTCAGATTGACTTTTAAACATTAGTAATATGATTTTATCTTCCTCCAATGTCTTTTCATGGCTTGATAGCTCACTTATTAGCCGTGAATGAATCCTTGTCTGGTTTGTTATGTGTATTTATCCATTCACCTACTGAAGGAAAAGTTGGTTGCTACCAAGTTCTAGCAATTCTGAATAAAGCTTCTATAAACATCTATGAGAATGTTTTGGTATGAGCTTAAGTTTTCTGCTTCTCTGAGTAAATATCAAGGAGTGACACTGCTGGACTGTATGATGTTTGTTGACTTTTGTAAGACAGCCAGATATCTTCCAAAATTCTTGTGCTGTGTTTGCATTGCCAGCAACAATGAATGGGACTTTGGCTCGCTCCATGCTCTCGTCATCGCTGGTATCAGCGCTTTGGATTTTGGATTTTGGTAGTGCTGTCTCATTGTTATTTTAATTTGCTGCTTGCTGGTTGCTTCAGATGTTGAACAACCCTTCGTGTGCTTCTTATGTGTATTTTCTTCGTTACAGTGTGTGTTCAAGTCTTTTGCCTTTTTTTTTTTTTTTTTTTTTTTTTTTTTTTCTTTTTGGTACCAAGGATTGAACTCTAGACCTTGTGCTTGCAAGGCAGGTGCATTGCCACTGAGTTAAATCCCCAGCCTGCCCAATTTTTGATTGAGTTGTTCATTTTCTTATTGTTGATTTTTAAGAAGTTTTTAATATTTATGAAGTCCAATTTGTCAGTGATTTGTTTCATTGCCACATTCAAGATCATCTGGATTTTCTCTTGTATTATCTTCTAGGAGCCTTATAGTTTAGACTTTTACATTTAGGTCTCTGATCTATTTTGAGTTAATTTTTGTAAAGGACATAAGGTCTAGATCTAGAATCTTTTTTTTTGCATGTAGATGCTCAGTTTTTCTAGTATCACTTGTTGAAAAGACTGTCTTTACTCCATTGATTATCTTTGATACTGCACTAAAGATGAGTTGACTGTATTGATAGGGGTAGCTTACGCTTCAGTGTCCTCTCTGCCTGTCAAACCACCATTTTCTACTCCAACCTGAGTACAGCCAGGCAGGAAGCATGGCACTCCCCTACTCCAGCCACTTCAGTCTGCACTGTTACATTTTGAAAATGGAGAAGGCACCCTAAGTGGCTAAGGTCAGAAAAGGAAGTATCTGAGCCCCTTATTTGCATACCCAGCATTCACAGCAAGCTTCTAAAAGATTTCCTTGTTTCAGCCCTCACCCTCACTGAAACAGGTCTTCAGCTGCTGCCTAAAACCACTTTCCGGGCCCTCCTTGGGTTTTAGTTTGGGTGGTGGCCAGCAGCATCAGAGACCAGCAGCTGGCTGTGTCAGCTGCTAGCAGAGCTGTGTTTGGCTGATTCATGATTTTCACCTAAACTGAAGGGAAGAACCGTAGGCAGAGTAGCAACATTCTTATCTATGAACATGGAGTATCTCTGTTAATTTCCTTCTTACTTCTCTCACCAGAGTTTTCTGATTTTCCTCATATAAATCCTGTGTACATTTTGTTTGATTTTTGCCTAAAGTATTTCATTTCATGGGTCTTAATGTTTCAAATTCAACTTGTCCATCTTTGCTATTTTTGTATATTAACCTGCCACCTTGCTATTATCCCTTATTTAGTTCTACTCTTCTGTTAATTTGTTTTACATAGATGATCATGTTATTTGTGAACAGGCAGTTTTATTTTTTCCTTCCCAGAAAGAAAGAAAAAAGAAGCATGAGTTATTTGGAAATATATAGAAAATAGAAATGTATAGACATATTTAGAAAACCCTTACCGCTTGAATATATATTTTCAACTAATGCAAGTCCACTTTGAAATAATACCGTGCCCCCAAATGCGTGGTGCCAGGACCTTACAACGACAGAATCTTTCTGACTGCCTGCTTTGCCCCTCCGGTCTTTGTACTCCACAGTTCACTTCAGTATAGGAGGGAAAAGTAAGTTCGTGTACGTGGCATTCATAATTAAGCTCATTTTTGCTGTTATTATTCTGAGCAAACGACCAACTGAACAAAGTTAGATTCTGAATCTTATCTCAATTACAAATAAGAGAAAGCCTTAATCTCACCTTCTCTAATTACTTTTCTGATGGTCTTCCTTCCTTCTGTGTCGCTGAGGATCTTATCTGTATCATTTGCCTTTCTCCCTCCATAGGTCTGGGTTACACTTCTGAAAATCAGGGCTGACACAGCTTCCTTGTTTCCAGGTCTGACCGTGACTGCTGTGAAAGACGCAGGAGAGTGGAACCTGGAGGCCGGGGCACTGGTACTTGCAGACGCGGGCCTTTGCTGTATAGACGAGTTCAACAGCCTCAAAGAGCACGACAGAACCAGCATCCACGAGGCGATGGAGCAGCAAACCATCAGCGTTGCTAAGGCTGGGTGAGTATCTTCTTCTTTAAAGATCTGTGGAAACAATGGGGTCATGTAATATCTCATTAGGGAAAATTGATAATCTTGTTGGTGTTCTCAGGATGTGTCAGTTATACAGTGTGGATGTAGCTTTACTTGACCAATGGGAGATTTATGCAGAGGTCTCAACAAAAGATTCAACTCATTATTTCAGTTCAGTAAATATTGTTTATGCAATCTGAGTGTATTACTATATTAGGAATTTTGAAAGATCCAAGAAGAAAAATACCGTAACTTCTGCTTAAATAACATTCTTGTGAGTCCTAATAAAGGGTTGACCACAGCATATGGAAAACTAAATAATCATACATTAGCATACTGTATCTAAATGATACTATAATGTAACTAAATGATGATACATTAGCATAAGATGAAGGGCTTCTGTGACTCAGGGAGACTCAAAGGGAGATGTGAGTCTCTGGCTGTACATTACCAGTGGTGGGGGTGGACTTCCATTGGCCTAGGCCCTGTCATGGACGTAGGATATTTACCGGACTCAGAACTTGGCCACCAACTGGCTGTGTGGCCATCTAAGCAAATGACAAGGCCAGAATAGGTCAGCATCAATCCTGCTAGTAAGGCTGTGAGACCAACTGATCAGAAAAGTCAGCCAGCAGCAGTGTCTCAAACAGCACTGGGAACTGCGGAGCTCAGACGGCACATTCTAGTAGATCCCTGTACTCTAGGGGAAAGGAAATGTGGAGCGAGAGGAGAAGAGAGAGAGGACAGAACACAGCCCTTAGGAAAAGTATACTAGAGAGAACTAGGCAGAGCTGTATCAGACCTGTTTGTTCATTCGCTTGATACATTCCTGTACTTGTTAAGAACCTGCCACATGCCAGGCACCATGCTAGTCACTGAGAACCACACAAGTGAATAGGACATTGTCCTTGAGGTCTTGCCCATTTTATTGGGAAAGAGAGACAAAAATAGCATTAAAGTGATGTCTATAATAAATGTTCCTTGAGAATGCATACTTTAAAAAACTACTGTTAACCTTTTGCACTATCCATAAGTGTAATTTCCACAGTCAGTGTTCCATAGCTAAACAGTTCCTTAATGATACCAAGAGCCTGAACAATCTCGTCATCACTACTACTTTATCCTGTGCAATAGGGCTTTTCATTATCAGTGGTAAAGGATCAGTTGAGTTGTGTTTCACAATCCATTGCAGAACCATATCTGTGTGTGTGTGTGTGTGTGTGTGTGTGTGTGTGTGTGTGTGTATGGTACAAGGGATTGAACACAAGGCCTTGCGCATGCCAGCCAGCACTCTACCACTGAGCTAAACCCTCCCTCATTTTTTTTTTTCCGAGGCAGAGTCTCAAAACAGCTGAGGCTGTTCTTGAACTTGTAGTCTTCCTACCACAGCCTCCCAAATAGCCGGGATTACAGGCACACACCACTGTGCTCCACTCAGAGCTGTATTTTTATAAAATATAATAAAAATGAATTGCTAAAAATGTGAAAGTTAAAAGCAAGGACATTTGAAATATAAGCCTAAGTTCTTCCACTTAAGACATAGAAACCTCTAAGAGAAGGCTACTCCCATCCTAACGAGAAGAATCCAGGTAGCCCACAGAAATATCTTTCCTTGAATTTATTAGAGAGCTGAGGTCACAAAGAAAGGAAGAGAACTTAACTTCTAGGTATGACAAACCCTTCTAAGAATAGTTGCAACACAAACTGTTGTACCGTTGACAGAGTGTGAAGCAAGAGACACAGAAACAAACAACTAAAATAAATTTAATTCCCTAGAGTTAGTGTGGGCAAGCATATCATTTGAGAACAACTAGGAACTCCAAACAGAAGGGTGGTCCTCATCTGTAAGCTCTTTCCCAGTGGTCTGCATCAGACGCAGAGGACTTGAGCAGAGGAGAAGGCTAGCGAGCCCCTCCTTGGGTCCTCAGTCATGTAAGCAGAAAGGCGCTGCTGCTGGGCACAGACGTGACATCTCTCACGTGAAGCAATAGCTTTCATCACTGGATGCTAGGCAACATAGCTCCACATCCCAAGGCCTCTAAGCAAAGGCAAAAACCCTTCTGCTTCTATGGGATCGAGGGTTAGGAAATCCTGCCCTCCCCAGGACCTGGGAAAAAGCACACTGCTTCTGGGAGAAGGGTAGAAATAAAAGCCATCTTCCTCAGAGAGAAGGACAGTAAACTCCCTTGGATCTAGGGTGCTGCACCACATGGACACAGCAAAAGCAGAGGTGTGCTGCCATTGAGAGTGGGGCAGAACCAGCACAGGCATTTGGCAGACTTCAGCTGCCATGTGTGGGAGACGTGAAAGGCTGCCTGATCTCCATTCTGCCCCTTCCAAGACCAGGTACCGACGCTGTGTAAGACCAGGAGACCAAGAACCACCCTGGCCCCAAGCACTGCTTAGTTTTATTTTCCTATAATCTATTGGTCAGTTTTTATTGTTTCCATGGTATATTTTTATTTATATTCTTTTCTTTTTTTAATTATTATTCAGCTAACATAGAAGAATAAATGGTTTATTATACATGGTACCCTTGGCCACAAGTGAGAACAGAACTAGTCTGGAATAGACCAATAAGTTAAAGATAGAAATTCTAGAATAACCACTGGAAAAAGGGAGGCATAATCTATAAAGCAGCTATAGAAATGAAGTGAAATCATTAAAACAATCCAAAAGAAGACAGGACAAAAATTAAAAGAACAAATAATAGGACGAATAGAATGCAATCAGCAAGATAAAGAATTTTTTTTTTTTGCAGTACTGGGACCTGAACTCAGGACTTTGCACTTACAAGTCAGGAGCCATGCCACTGAGCTAAATCCCTGTCCCAATTAAGAAAAAAAATTTTTTATGGTGCTGAGGGTCAAACCTAGAGCCTTGTGCGTGCTAAGCATGTGTTCTACCACTGAGTTACACCCCTAGCCTCAGATGATAGACTTAAATTCCATCATTTGAATAATCATATTAATAATAAATCATGAAGGTTGGATAATAAAATAAGATCCAACTATATGCTGCCCTTGAGAAACTGACTTTACATTCAGACACATAGGTAAGTTGAAAGAACATAGCTATCAGCCTTAGAAACTTCTGCACTGTGAGAGCCAAGAAGAGGAAGAAGCAAATGTGCAGAATGAAAAGCAAAAGGAAAAAGATGAGGCAGAGTCCAGGTAATAGCGGTGCACGAAGACAAAGGAGCAGGATGCTGTGCAAGTTGTTGGACTGCATGCTGCTGTCTGGAATGTGTCTCAGTGGGCCTAGAATGTGCACCGCCAAGACCGCCTCTGCAAGACTCAGCCTGCTTCCAACTGACCTATGCTGTGCTGGACTAGCTCTGTTCTCTGTTGTGGCCGAGTGTGACATGTGTAAGAAATCACCTTCTGCTGTGTCAACCAAAGAGTTAAAGAATAAATAAAAATAAAAGAATGTAAACAAAAATATATCATGGAAACAATAAAACCTGACCAACAAATTACCGAAAATAAAACTCCATGCCAGTATCACCCATAAACCAAAGCAGAAGTGTCTTTCCAATTCTTGGGTAAATTAATCAAACACTGTGTAAAAAGAATTATATGTTATAACTAAGCAGATCTCCCAAGGTCCTGTGCTGATCTCAGAGACCAAAACAAACAAACAAAGCAGATCTTATCCCAGGAACTCAAGATTACTTTAACATTTGAAAACCAATTAGTGCAATTTATAATATTAGCAGAATAAAAAAGAAAAACAAGGTCCAGGGATTTAGCTCAGTGGGACCGCGCCTACCTTGTAAACATGAGGTCCTGAGTTGCATCCCTGGTACCAAAAATCATTTTTTTTTCTCAATAAATGAAGATCTATTGGAAAAAATTAAATACTCATTCATGATTAAAATTTTCAATGGATTAGAAAAGTTCCTCTTGCCTTTTAAGTGATATCTGTGAAAAAACCTATAAGAAGCATTACAAGAGGCCAGGTGTGATCCTCTACATAGAAAATCCCAGAGAATCTATGAAAAGCAAGACCCTGTCTCAAAAACCCAAAACTGAAACTAATAAATGAATTTAATGATGTCATAGGATATGAGGCCAGTATATAAAAAATTAATTGTATTTCTGTGTGATAGCAATGAACAATTGGGAATTTAAGCAAAATGAACATATATAAAAGCCTCCCCAAACAGGATGTATGTAGGGGTAAATCTAGCAAAATGTGTTTTAATATATACCCTAAAAATTGCAAATCAGGTTGGGCATGCTGTATTCCCAGTACTCAGGAGCCTGAGGCACAGGATCACCAAAAGTTTGAGGCCAGCAAGAACTATATATATAGTGAGACCCTGTCTGAAAAACAAAGACAAAAACTACAAAACACTGATGAAAAATTAAAAGGCCAGAGAGATACTTGGTTTCATTCATCAGAAGATTTTAAATTCTTGGGCCAGGGATTTAGCTTAGTGACACCACACCTGTCTTGCACGCACAAGGTCCTGAGTTCGAACCCCCATACCTCCCCGCCAAAAAAGAAGTAAGTTCTTCTGGAAGCAATCTATAGAATCAGTGTAACACTAGTCAAATAACAAAGGACATTTTTGTAGAAACTGATAATATGATTTTAAACTTTATATAGAAAAGCACAGGAACTGGAAGAGGCAAAACAAGCTTGAGAAAGGACAAATGTGGAGGACTTTTAAGGTTTACTATAAAACTGCAGTAATGAAGGCATAGCATGAGAGTAAGGGTAGATGCAGATTGAGGGTCTAGAAACAGATGCGATAAAATCCATTGATTTTTCAGAAGGATGTCAGGATAATTTATGAGAGAGGATAGTTTAAAAAGATGATGCTTGAACACTTGGATATCTATAAAGCAAAAGGTAAAAGGTACCTTGTACCTAGTTTAGAGCAGCTTTATTTATAATCACTCAAAATTGAAAACATATCAGAGGGATTTAGCTCAGTGGTTCCACCACCTGTCTCGCAAGCACAAGGGCCAGAGTTCAAT